ATCTCACAACTTCGGCCATCAAAAACGGTTGGGGAGATTCCTGTCTCACTTGCAGGTAGCTGTCTGCATACACCTTCGTGAAATTGCACAATCACCTTTCACTGAGGTACATCTCATTCACAAAAAACGGAGTCGTCAAGGGTTTCGTCTGGTTTGTCGTCGATTGTCGGCGGACCATGTTTCCACCTGTGTTCGGTCTGTGGTGGGTCGGTCGAGTATATCGTCGGTCTGTAGATTGGTTGTATGTATCTCGATTGAGAACACGATTGTTCAATTTATATATATATTTTTCCTTCAATAATTATCGAAAATCATTAAGAGGAAACAACGGAATAATATCTTTTTCGGAGCAAAATTATCAAGCTTTAAACGAAATCGAAATCGAAAGCGACTTTATTGTCACTAATTTTGCCAATAAATGGGGATTTTTACGCTTGCCAGAAGTTAGAAGTCAATTCAGGCCAAAGTCCAATTATGTTCATGTCCAGAACATCATTTAAAAACAAGTTTGACTTAGGAACATTTTTTATCCGGTTCAAATCAAGTGTATTCCAAGTTTTTTAGTAGTAAAATACTTGGAATGACCGGAATTCGAACCAGCGACCTTTCGGTTTCAGGTCAAGTACGTTACCGCTAGACTAGCTGGTCTTGATAGGCTTTCATTTTAGTTTCAATCTTGAACATCCTCGGGCCCCAACGGAGCGAGAACTGGGGCGAGTTTAACAAGAGGTCGGGTTAAATCTCCTGTTGCGGTTTTAAGGAGTGCGAAACGGGCGGTAGCGTCTTTGACATAGTTAAGCGTTTTAACGCGAGCGAGAGGGTAGTAACCACGCGGGCTACTATCCTCGACGATCCAAACAAGATCTCCGGCTTTGAGTTCTTGTTCGGTAGGTGTGTGCCATTTACGGCGTTTGTTGAGAGTCGGAACGTACTCGCGTAGCCATCTAGTCCAGATGGCGTTAGCGTATCCTTGTGCGCGAAGATAACGCTTTCGATGATCGAAATGTTCGTCCGTCGCAATCGACGGGAAACTAACTGAGCGCTGGTCTATCAAGAAGTGATTTGGCGTTAAAGCCTCAATCTCATTCGGTTCACTGCTTACCGCTGTAAGTGGACGCGCATTGAGGGACTGTTCCACCAGACAAAATGTGGTCTGGAGTACCTCGTCGGTTAATTTATGGGGTGTGAGGATGGAGTAGAAAACTCTCTTGCAACTACGTACAAGACGTTCCCAAGAGCCACGAAATTAGTACGACCGCTTTGATTGCCTCAATTCAGTTTGGAACGATTTTGTTGCGCGGGATAATTTGCCACATATAAATAAATCGCGGCACGCTTTCAGGAGAAATTAGTCAGGAGCATGGCCAAATTTTCAATCTCCCAAACATTTTCAAAATTAGATTGCTGGTATGATATGTTGTTAAGTTTGATTTCAGGGAGTCAATCTGTTCAGAATTATCTTTTAAAAATATTTAGTTAAATTGTTTTTTGTTAAAAAATATTATTTCGATCGCCGAAAATCGGCTGAATATAAAAAAGACACCAAACATAAATAGTCCGTTTTATTCGAAAGTCGAACAAATATTAAATGACGATTTCACTTGTTGCGATCACATTTGCATCGTATGAAAGAACGCAAATTTTACTGCTTGTGGTTTGCATTATTGTAAAATTCTCCGTCCTGTTCAAAACTGTCCTTGACTTCCTGAAAAACTTTACGCTAGAAAACTGAGCTACATACGAAGTAAAAGATCCTATAAATTGCACTTTTAAGGTTGCGCTTTTGTCAACTAAATAGCTGAAATTTCCAAGGGGTCCCCCTATACTTCTATCTTACGATAACCAGTTCTTTTTGACGAACCATAACATTTTATATAATTAACTCTAAACAGATTTTGCAGAAGCACTAAAAATAAACTCTGGTGCAGGTTATTATGCAGGACTTAGCACAGTGGTAAGGCGTTCACTTTGCAATCGTCAGATCGTGTATTCGATTCCATGCCATGGCAATGATAGTATGTGAGGACAAGCTCTCACTTGACCTCCAGCTACAGGTCTACCACGTCCTGACCAACTTTGACTGCAATAGTGGTGCCACGTAAAAGTTCTAGACGCAAAAAAACGGCCTTGAGTCGCAAAAACAGTTTCGCTCAGCAAAATAACACTGTCTGGAATGTGGGGAGATAATACAAATGGACTATCCTCGACAGGACTGTTAAGGCCTACCAGCACCGGAGTTCTATGGATCATAATCGATTATATTGAATTTTCGTGGTCTGTCTCAATAAATTTCGATTATAATCGATTATAATCGATTAAAAATGGATTATAATGAAACTATTTTTCTAATCAATAAAATCCGAATATAATCGATTATAATCGATTATAATCGATTATTTTTGAAAGAAAATGGAACTTGTTTTCGAGGCAAAATATCCATTTTTAATCGATTAAAATCGATTATAATGGATTTTTTCGAGGGGTTATTCTTGAAATTTACAATTTTGTTCAAAATTATTTCATTTCCTGTTTAGTGCAGTTGCTACGAATTACGTTTCATAAAATGTTACATTTCAGAATAAAATTTTACTCTACCACAAAAATAGTCGGTTTTAGTTCTAAAAATGAAATGAATTATAATGGATTATAATGGATTTTTATTTCAAAATAATCGATTATAATGGATTATTTTGGCGAAAATAATCGATATCAGTGACAAAAATAATGGATTATAATCGATTATAATGGATTACTATTTTTCAAAAAAAATCGATTTTTAATGACCACATAATCGATTACGTGGTCTATGGATTTATATAATGGATTATAATGGATTATAATGACAACATTTTAGACAACATTTTTCCATTATAATCAATTATTATCCATGGAACTCCGGTGCGGGTATTGATAGCTCCTCTGCGATTCGCAGGAACTACAATTATTATTATTATGCAAATACTATTTTTCTGGGGTTTCGGCAGAGCTAGAAACAATCAAAATTGCTGACCTATTATATGGTCGACAAAATGGTAAGGTCAAATCATTCAAATACTGTATCGCAACTCGTTCAATGCAATGTTTTAATCTATTTATCAGTTTTCAGCGCTGCTTCAGGACGAACTGCATAACAAAGTTTTGCTTACAAACATTCAAACGCGTGGATGCTACAATTTCCAATAAAAGACAATTTAATTACTGCCGCAGTCGCGCCAACGTGCTGCGAGCATGCCAACAGAGGGCAGGATTTACTGGTACCGTGTAAACATCCGATATGTCAAACATCAAAAAAAAAACAAAAAAAGTTGCTAACATCCGAAAAGCTTTACTAGGGCAAACATTTGACATTTTTCAAATGGGCAGATTTTTTCTCTCGATACCAGCTTATCAGTGCCATTTTTGATCCTCAAGTTTCAAGGTTCAGGTCTTCTATTTTGATTGCTGTTTTGATTATTACCACACATAGCTGGTTTTGATTGCTGTTTTTTCAAAACACGTAGTCATATTTTTGTATGTGAATTTCTGAATTAGTTTTTTTTATTGTTTCTCGTTTTTAATTGTTTTTTACCCAGATTTCGTACATTTCTGCTCAGATTATCTAGATTTTTTAATTTTTTTCAGCAAATAACTTGCTTACCCAATTTCAACTCATTCGTAAGAAACTTTGAAAAAAAAAAACTCGTCATAAAGATGTTTTTAACGAAGACAGTTTATTATGTTGTTTTCACCAAGATTTGGGTCAAGTTATGTCTGATTGTTTGATTTCCTTCTTCTTCAAATTTTGATCAAAAATAGATCCTACTCCTTTCCAAACTTCTAATTGCGGCTAGACTAATTGACTTATGTTTTGAACGAATTTCGTCAATCACACAAACAAGTTCGATCTAAAATTTGGGATCAAATACACCTTTTGGGAAACACACCAAACACAATACAAATAGAGTGCACAAAAAAGGCTACACATTACTTGAAAAAAAATCTGAACAGCAAACGTTGTCGGAAATATTAACTCAAATTCAAATTTTTGTGTAATCAATGTTGATGCGAGAAAAATTTGTGATTTTTAGGCATCCAAACTAAAACAGCTGATGACCCTAAATATGTTCTTAAATTTCTTGTACATCGTCAGTCAAGTTTTTGTGCAACGTTGAACCGATTAAAGTATACTTTCTGTTTGAGTCGAACATAGTCAAAAAATCGAAATGTTTTTTTTTGTTTTTGGTCGATTTGCTCAAAACCTAGAAAAAATTGTGTCGAGCTGGTTTAGAAAAGAGCTGAGCTGGTCTTGAAATAATTAGGATGCATAGATAGTAGGCTTGGTTCGAACATTCGAACACAAATGAAAATGTTTTTGCTGCGGACAAGATAGATGGTCGAACTATAGCCATGTTCATTCGAGCTAATTGAATCGTAAATTCAACACCTCAACCCGGGTTTTTCATTTTGTCATTCTGCTTTTTCATCACAACTTACTTTTTCAACACGAGTCGTGTAATTTACTGAACAAGGGAGTTGCATCTCAGCTTTGTTGTGATTGAACATATGCTACATCTTGAATAGATTCCAGAAAGTCAAAAAAAATTAATAATAGATGATACTGATTGTTACTGATTATTACAACTTTTGGTTAAAAACTCAGATGCAAAGAAGTAAATTACAAATATAATGCTCGCGTCAATTTTTTCCGCAGCAACGGTAATAGCTACTGCAATGGCCATGATGCTTGCTAACTCATGCATCATGACCATTGCAGTAGAACTGCTGCTTTAGAATTGCATCCGATATGTTAAAAATCATCTGGCCGAATCAACTGTTCTGCGTGGCACTAAAATGCTAGTTTTGATGAGTTTGCCTCAATGGTAACTAGGAGGTTTTCCAAGTATGAAAACTCACTTCCTCGATGTCATTTTTTTGTAAATTTATATTGGTTAGTGTAAAACACTCATCTTTTTCTAATTAGGATAGTTAAAGATTTTCACTTTTTTAAATCTGTATTTCAGACTAAGAAATATGCAGAGTGGATCGTTCGAAGTTGGTGATATGGTGAAGTTTGAGCGGGGTGCTTACGACCATTGGGGAGTGTATATCGGCGGAGGAGAGATAGTTCACATCGGACCCGAGGGAACGGACGAGGAGCTCAACTCTCTCAAACTCGCTTTTCAGGGAGAGACGAAAGCGGCATTCAAGCGAGATCCCTTGAAGCGAATCGCGGGAAACAGTTGCTATTATGCACACAACTATCTGGACCACAAACACACGGTGAGACTTGGGGGTGGCATATTGGTTTGTATGAACCTTGGGAAAAAAGTTCGTGGCGTTTTATGTCCAGAGACTTTGAAGAACGGCGCCGAAAAATGCAGTCGACATTTTTTCATAGTTCTCAACAAAAATTTTTTTACCATTTTTTAAACTTTGATCAATTGAGTTTCGGCTTTTACCGCACTTCAAAAAAATGAAATTTAAAATTAGCATTTTCGCAGGTATTATTAAAACTCTTGATTACGCTACTGTTTCATAATCCTAATGCTTCTCATATTTCCAAATTATATGCTGACAAGCGATTTATGATCATCTAATAAATTATCCACGTAATTCAAATACGAGGAATGGTAAAATAGATTTACTGTGCTATTTTTAAACCATCTCCTAGTTCCACGTTGTTGATTTTCACAACAGTTCTGTAAATTGTTGAATGTTTAAATCAAAAATTGGTGGATGAGCTTAGAAAACTGAAAAACCACTCATTATTGTTAATTTTTTTTCGTATAAATACATGGTAGAAAAAAAATTGGATCGCAAGTTTGAGAAAAATGGTTGTAATCAGTCCTACAAGTATAAATTGCAAATTCTCGCTCTGAAAACAACAATCCAAAAATCCTCAAGAATTTGAACTGTGCAATTTTTTTAACCCAGATTTTTCATCTAGTAAAATAATGACACCTTGGTTTAATAGGCATTTCTAAAAGCTTCAACAAATGTTCAATCTAAAAATCATGGAATTTTTTCTATAATAAAAGTATTAATAATAATAATAATATTAATAATAATCATAATAATTTGTTTCCAAATGATATCTAGTTATAGATGAGTTTTAAAAAAAATAACAAAGACATCTTAGAATGTATGATAGTACAACAATAAGCCTGCACGGCCCGTTTTCAAGTGACTAAGTCAGCGGAGATCAAAAAAGTTTTTTGAAATCGTAGATCTAATGAACCGTACTAATGGTAAACATTTATTAAACTTAAAACATCGTATACCCTCTTTTCGACCCTTGATTTCTGTTTTCTTGAATAGTGGTTGGTAGAAACCAACAAAAACATGTTCGACATAATAACATGAAAAATATCCAATAAAATTGTATTTCGTAGAATTCAGTTATCTGAAATCCTATGAATAAAACTATTCAATCTAATCAGGGAAGCCCCTTTGAAAATACTGACCAGGTAGGCTGAGGCGGGCAGATAGTTACTGCATTTATGAATAGTTTTTTGGAACTTAAGATATAATCGACCCTTTGTTGAGTTTGTTTCTATTTATGACTAACTTTTCATTTGATTTTCTCTTTGTATTTATCATGTTTAACTCTTGTTCAGTTATGGCATATCTCAATGGATAAACTTGGCACTCTTGTCAAACAAAACCAGTTTTTTTTTTTTCAAAAATTTGTACGCGAAAAACTTTTTTACGGTATATATTTTTACTTTGTGTATATTTTTACTAAGCTTTCCGATTTTCATTTCTAGTTCTAATGATTTGATTTAGTCGGTATTCGCATACTTCAGTTTGAATGATTGATTGCATACAACATTGACAGGTGACTAACTATTGCTGTCCTGTTAGAAACTTTCTTATAAAAAAACAAACCACAGAAAAGCAAAGTTTTTTTTTATTTGATCAAAATGCTGAGGAAAAATCAATTTGCTGTCGAAATGAATTCAAAAATATTTAAAGGTTTCTCTGTCTTTTTTGGTGGTCAGTTGAAATAAAAAATGAAAAGTCTTGCTTCAGATTTTTTGGTACGACAGTAGCCCATGGTCTTGGTTTTGGGTCCTCGCTTGTCAATTTAATTTTTTAAAACAAATAGTCTACTTCTAGCAACACCGATTGATGTTTAGGAGCAATATATTGTGTCTCGTTTTTCGACTTTCGAAGAAGAGTTTCATCTGCATACAACTCTGTTACCCTGGGTAATCCGTGACTGTTTGAAGAGCGTTTCTATAAATGATGGGTAATAGTGGGCAAGAAATAGACTCCCAAGGTACTCCAAAAATTCAAGTTTTAAAATCGTTCTAAAGAAAGTTTGATTCAATGTACGGATAACAAGTTTCAAGGTTACCTTCCGAAAATTTTTGCACAGCCCCTCTCAAACCCAGAAATTCTTGATACTTTTTACAAATCAAAACGAACAAGCGTATCAATAGCTTCTGTTAGGTCTATGAAATATTCTAAACTGTAAGATTTTTGTTCGTTAACGACGTTGAAACCTCTTTTAACAGTGTAATGACGGCGTCAACAGCGCTCTTTTTTGTTTTGATCTGAATCGTGTTTATAAAACTGAGGGTTTGTATTTATAAAAAAAGGTTGAAATTTGATTCGGCTCGTCTGAAAAATAAAATGCTCAAAAATTTTTTCCAGAGTTTGTAGACGCGAAATTAGTCTATAATCAGAAGAGTCATCATTTTTTCCTCCTTGAATTTTGCTTTACTATGTCCAGTTTTTTAAAACGTTTGGGGTATATTGCTGAAGTTTAGCAATCATTTAAATTTTCTGTTAGAAGACCCACTAGCATAATTTAAATTGCTTGACGTGAAGAATTTTGATAGGATGACAATCTGTACTGTACTTATTTAAAAAAAATTTTTTGGATGACCTCATTGATTTCAGTTGGATCATTGTTTTCTTAAACACAATGATTGCTGCAGACGGATTAGATTATGTTAATACAAATTAGTTTTCTTTGTGGATTTCTAGTGTCAATATTTGCGAAGTAATTGCCAGAACGCTCAACGTCCCCATAGGATACAATTAGTGACCAGGAGTTTCTTTTATTACCTCTCAATTCGTTTAAAAAAGTTCAAAAACATGTTTCGTTCTACAATAAAACGCGTTATTTTGGTTTGATAGTGTTTTAGTTTTTTCTATGGATGAACCAATCTTGACAAATTTGCTTTGGGAACTATATCTGTTACGAGCATCCGTTGTGTTAACATTCAAAAATTGTTGTCGTAACCGTTTTTTTGTTTTTGCATTTTCTATTTCATTTTCAATCTACGGATGCTTTTTTTGGTATCATTTTGGAAAAATTTAACAACAGATTTTTCAAGGTTTAATTTTGTGTTTGTCAAAAAACGAGAAGTTATTTGCGGAACCTCGGTATTCCAAAACTGCCTACTCTTACCAATCTCATTCTGGAAATAAAATCTTAGCTTTTCAATTAAAACAACCTATATTTCAAATTGTTCCAATTTCTAGCAATTATTTTTGTTAGTGAAAATGTCCTGTTTTAGTTGTTTTGAAAAAAGTGATGAGAAACATCAAAATAATACGAAATGTTGAGAAACCCGATGTACAGAAAAATAATTCAATCAATGAGCTGGAGTCTTCTGTCACTTTTTTCGGGAGGCAGCCAGTTTGTTTTCTGGCATGCCATTTTCATCATTAAATCCTCATATTGTTTTCGCTTCGCTGAATCTAACAGAAAAATTACGTTGAAATCACTACACACTATAGGTTCACTTTCTCTGGCCGTAGCGATAATCCATCCTAATAATTTTGCAGACTTTCGAAGGTATCGTTTTGTAGCGAAATTGGTGGAATGTATAAAAAGAATTGCTGTAGTTTTCTGATTCAATTGAGTTGTTATGGGCACTGGCAAGGTTTAAAAATTGTTTCTCTTCCCAAATACATATAGTTTTTGACAAATTTGTTCGACAATGTCTTATTTTTTTTGGCATAATTCTGACCTTCGAGTCTAAATTAAGTCTTGAAAAGAAATTTCTTTTTGTTCATTTTGTTCTTCATTTTATCCGTCACCCTATACCTTAATTACAACAGGATGTGAAAGGCATTTTATAATCTAAAAATAGAACCAATGATTAGATTTTTTTTAGTTTGAAACGATTTCCGGACAAAAATATCTTTCAGATGGTATAAAACATTTGCGTCAAAAACGCTTAGCTTAAAAATTTTTAATTTTGATCTTGAAGCTAAGCAAAAATTGTTTCAGAAAGTTAAGAAATTGTCCAATAGTTTTCTTAAAAACTATACATATCAAAGGTGCTTACTTTACTTTTATTTAGCCATATCCGAAAGAAGATATCAAGCATTTTGCGCTGAGTCATCTCAAGGGCGTGCTTACTTGGAATTACAACATTATAATGAAGAACTGCGAGAACTTTGCCATCTGGTGTCGGTATCGCGTAGACTACATGGGTGACCAGGCTAGAAATGGAGTGATAGTGGGTGCTGTAGGGGTAGGACTGGCTGCTCTTGGATTGGCAGCTCTAGCTGGTTACTCTGCTTCTAAGAAAGAAGAAGAGGAGAAAAAGAAGGAGAAAAAGATTGAATACAGATACTGATGGACAGCAACGGATTGACTAAAACTGGCTCTGGGTCTATAATTGGGAAAAGACTTTGTGTCGTAAGCTTAAGTTAATTCGGTTATTAAATTTAGTTAAGTTGTTCATTTTGGGATAAATATCTAAAAATAGCACGAAATAAACTGCAGTCTCTCCAACTGCAGTTTAGATTGTACCGTCAAAAAGAATGAATTGTTATTTGGGTTAGTTGTGTAAACAAAGAACGAGAAACATTGCGGCACAATTTTTTAGAAGCAAGGTAAAACACGACTGCTTGTATCAGGGTAGATTCCTGAATGTTCCAAAGGCCTCTTGCGGTCTATGGAGTAATGTTTGCTTTAATAAATCATGAAGATTTCAAAAACTGAAAGAATTTTGAAAACGTTTTTGAGATTTTTTTGTAAAAGCAGCACCCCACACGCCATGAAAAGATCAAATTATATATTTCGCATGTATCAAAGTTTTAAGTAGACTAAATAGCATGCCTCAATTCAATTTGTAACGATTTCTAACACGGATTAAATCTCCGCTTACGCGTGTATGGAGAAAAACAAAAACCACCCCGAGCACAAATATTCTGTTAATCTTTTCGAAAATTGGATCAAAAATGTTTAACATTATATACTTCAATTGCATAAATTGAACAAGTAGGCTATCATTTTTATCATAAAATTTTAAGCAGAAAGATCGATTTATTGTTCCGACTTTTGTAACGAAAACATCGGAATATTTGTTTTCGGGGTGTTTTTTTTCTTCAGACTTTTCTTTTCTTTTTAACAAGCCATTTTTGACGGAATTTTTATATCTTTCAAAAGATATTGTTGTCACGAGCCTAAGTTTGAAAAATTATTTAACTTGTGATTGTTTTTATTAGGTGATGTGGGTCTAAAGTTTGCCAATTTGGGATAAATAACGCGCGTTATATTTCGCGCTATTAACGCGTAAGCGGAGAGTTAATCCGTCTTAAAAATCGTTCCAAATTGGTTAAAAGAAACTTATTTGCCATATTTGGTTTGTTACAAGGAGCGAAATCTATTCTTTTATATGGCGTGTGGGGGGATGATTTTCATAAAAAAACTTTCGAACTTTAGAAATTGTTTTTTTTTATTTTCTTTTATTTCATTGAATTTTTTAATGTTATTACTACTCCATAAACCTTAAAAGGCAATCGGAACTTTCAGGGCTTCGCCCTGATACGAGCAGTCTTGTTTATCTTAAGAGTTATCCAGAGCATTACTCTTGGTTGGATCGATTCACTACAATGAAGTTTCGAACTCATTCAAGAAGTCTGGTATTGTATAGTGTCGCAGTTAATCTGCCAGTAAAAACCATTAATATTTCACCTTTTCAACAGTATAAGAAAAGTACTGAATCAGCATCGCACTGACCATTGATAAAATCAGGAAAAAAACTGCAGTACGCTTTCAATAATGATTTAGAACTGAATCAGTACTGTTTTTGAAATTATTAATTCTGATCATGAACAAATTGCAACCAGTCCATCCCAGGATACCTAAAATACTATTTTAAAAACTCAATTACCGAATCTAATTTACAATAACAAAGCTTAGTGAACTGAATATTCGATTAAATTTGACTGATTTTTAACTGTGGTAGTGCAACTTTCACGTTTTTTATTAGAGTTTTTTTTTGAGATTTGAAGCCATTAAATTGTTTTTTTTTGACGACAACGACACGTAACCAAATATAAAATTCCATTCAAAACTTTGAAAAAAGTTTAAGAAAACCCAAAACATGCGGTAAGTTTTTATCAAAATTCAAAAAAGATAATCAAACTGGTTACTTAACACCAAAACAGAGTGTCGATAAATAAGTTCACATTCGTATTTACCATTCGCTAAACAACATTCGTAAGCACCGAAAAAAGGTTGATTCCAGTACTGTTGCAGGGCAAAAACTCTGTTTTCTGTCCTTTAACAGTACTGCAAAGAACAAAATACTACTGGTTTTATTCTGAAGCAGTACTTATTACTACTGGCAGACCAATCCTGGTTTTTTTTGTTGATTGCGTCGAGGTGCTTTGCACAAAGCGAAGTGTGTAAGCGCAAGATCTAAATTCATTACTTTTATTTGAACAGTTAGCTAGGTTTAATTAATTATTTAGCTAAGGCAATACAGTAAACAGTAAATTTAGTAGTACAAAAACGGTTACTTTATAAAGCATGCTTTGAATTGCAGCGTCCAGATAAATGTTCAGTTAAACTTGAAAACTCAATTATAACTTGCAAACTGAAATGGCTGAGGGATATACTGAAGATAAAATACTGACGACAAGTGGTCCAGAGAAAATTGGTTAGACACATTATTTTAATAAATTTCCTTGAATAAATTGAAAACTTGAAAACAAAAGACACAAAAAAAATACAAACACCATCTTAACACAACAAAGATCCATTATCTACACGGAAGCAATTTTTTCTTAAAAACAATGCGCCAAAAAGCCGTGTTGCGCCACGTTTTTGATTTTTTTTACCACAAAATTGTTCTTTTTTGCAGGCTGCCACTCAAATTTAACACATTTTGGTGCGGAATTAGGCCTTGGAGCAAATTTAGGGTCTGTCATTGTCCTATACAGAAGTTGAATATTAGACAAGCAAGATTTGTCGCATCAGGGCGCAACCTGAAACTTTAGACTGTCCTGAAACTTGTGTCTGCAATCTAACTTGTCTGCAATCTGAAACTTGTCTCTGAAAATGTTTTCTGCAATCTAACGTTGCAGCGAGCTGGTAATTAAGAGGATTGTCAATTTGTGGTATTTGTCATCAAATAGATTTATTGCGCTCAAAATTTCCTCCCAATTCAAAGAATTTAGTTGATGAAGTGATGAAAAAATTGCATTCTTAATCCCATAAGTTTGCAAAAAATTTGATTGCATTGAAAAAACTATGTTTTTAGAGGGGCTCAGGAATTTAGACAACAATCAAATCAGACGGAAAAACTTTAAAGGAAATAACCAGTTTATGCAAAACTGCAATACAAGTAAGGTTTTGTCGGGAAGGTAAAATTTTAATTGCTTGCACACAAAAGTTAAACTAGGGTTGCAAAAAAAAGCAAAAATTCTAAATAATTTCGTCAAAATATCGAAGAAGTTTTAACACCCATGAAATTTTAAACTTAAAAAATTTTTTAAATCCGGTTTTCACTACCGCTGTGTTATCTCCAATTGTACAGGAAAACTTCTGACACATTCGGTAATTACAAATTTATGCGAAATTCAGGCAGCCACAATCTTGAGTCCGACCCTAAATTCAGAGACGAAAAAAAATTCGACAGAAAACTTTGGCCGTAAAATAAAACATTACGACTAAAATCAGTGAAAAAATGTGAAATTGATTTTAGGAATCGAAAATCCACCGGATTATCTCAGCAATGGGCTACTAAAAAACCTAACACAAATTCTGCCAAAGATTCTAAATTAAAGGGCCCAAAAATAGATGATACGTGGACTAAAATGAATGAGCGAACTTCAAGATTTTGTATTACATTAAGATGTTAGATTGGTATCTATATGTTCGCTGAAAAATCTGCAAATTTGCAAATGTCATAAAAGTTGTCTGACGAAACTTTCAAGGCTGCAGCATAACCCTTGGGTTGAAAATATACAGTTCAGCTGTATGATGGAAACATTTGATCAATTTGGGCTTCAATGTCCGAAAAAACAAGGAAGTGTCCGAAACGTGTTTTAAAAAATTATGAAAAACTTTGAACCATATTGTTGAATTACGAAACGGGCTTCCTTGCTACCGTGAAAATTTGATGCCATTAGTCTATCTTCTGTGCTTTTTATTTTATTAGGTTCTTTATCGTACCTACAAAAATAGTCGTTCGACTCAGCTATTTGTCGCAAACTGTTTAGTATAGAATTTTGCTAATCGACCCCGTGATTGCAAGATAGGCAATTTGACACAATCTGGGTTGAGTCTAAGACTCAAACGTTTATAGACTACAGAATCTCCAAAAAAAAAATTTGCAAATCGTGGCATGCTCGCCGAAAAAATTAGAAGAAACCACCTATCTTTATTGGTAGTAGCAGAAAAATTGCAAAAACAAAAAATCAAAATAAAATTGTAAGCAAAAAATTTTCGAAAAACGAAGCTCTATATCCGCAGCGATTGAAAACAACTTTGAGGGGAACATCATCAGTGCTTATGTTTAATGGAACAATGTAGGCATTATTTGCATTAACATGCACGCAAATTTTAATTTTTTTTAATTCGTTTTAATTTTTTTTTCATTCTTTTAGTTGATTTGAATTTATAGTTTGGGTAGGCATAATTAAAATACTCTTTTTTTATTTGTTAAACTGTTTTAAAAAATTTGATGGTACTTTCTTTTTCTTAGCAGTTGCGTCTAAAATTCCAGTTTTATAAGAAAAATCCCTCCTTTTGGTTTAATTGCTTCTGTCTAACTTGCTTATCGTCTAGCTTCTCACACGCCGTTTTTTGGATTTGAGCACACGTCATTACATTTTTCAATGGCGTATAAAAGTATCAAAAAGTGTGAAGCTATAAATCTATAACCACTTTAACCCAAAACTATAAAACCAATCAAAATCATGAAACATCAGAAACTATAGCTTCAATCAAAAATGGAGATATGAAATTTAAAATGCTTCCGACCACAGATATTCCGTTCCTTACCGTTTTCAACCTACATATGATTTTATAAAATTTTCTTTTTCCCAAAAGAGTCAGAAAATTCTTCAAAAAATCTGATATAAAATTACAATTACTTAGAATTGAGAATCAAACCAACAGTATTTTGCCCTGCTAAAACTGGTTAAATTAGAACTTGAGCCATTGGATACTTAGTTAAAACCAAGTAAAAAAAAGAAAAATTAAAAAATGGTCTGCAGTTTGTTTGCGCTTTTTTCATCAAAACATAGAAACCCTGTCATTCTGATTAGTCAGAATTGAAGTTGCAAATCAAGTTTCAGTTCTAGTTACAATTCATATCAATTTAAGTAAATCCAACGGATGATGATATTTGTTCTGGTTCTTTCTTTTGATGCTGTTTCTTTTTTCGAAACATATTCAAAATCGAGCCACTTGAAAACAGTTGATTCAATAATTTGAATTGATTACAGTCTATTACTTGAAATTTCTCGTTGTAAATAGTGAAACTCTTAGCCAGGTATGTTTTGTTTTCAAATTTTCTCAGAACCTAAGCTTGAATTTCTGAAAAACCTTCAACAATCAAAGCTAAATCAAATCCA